AATATCCATTTATTGCAGGAAATGGGATAAAAGATGTCTTCATGGAAAGTAGATACAAGTGTTATCAGCCCTAGTGGTGATGCTGGTGGTCTTTAAGCAAAAACTTCCTCCTAGAAATTTTCTTCAGAGCCAGCATCACTTCTTTGTTCCTCAGGGTGTATATCAGGGGATTCAGCACTGGGGTGACTGCGCTGTATATGATGGCCATAATCCGGTCCTGCACCAGGGAGGAGGCTGATGCAGGCCTGATGTATGTGAAGCCCACAGGTCCATAGAAGAGGCATACAACCATAAAATGAGAAGCACACGTGGACAGAGCCTTTTGAAGCACACTGCAGGACCGGTGCTTGAAGAGAAGGAAGCCAATAATGTAAAAGTAGGAGAGAAGAGTTAGGAAGAAGGCCCCCATGGATATGCTGCCTGTGACAACAGCAAGAAGCCATTGATTGAGTAGCGTGTTGTTGCAAGCAAGTTCTAAGAGAGGCTTGACATCACAGAAGAAGTGATTGACTTTCTGAGAGTGACAAAAGTCAAGGCGTGCCGTCATGACTGAATGCATCAAGGCATAAAAGAAGCTGGTCAACCAAGCTGCACCTGCTAGCAGAAGGCACACCTGGTGGTTCATGATGAGCATGTAGCGCAGGGGGTAGCAGATGGCCACAAAGCGGTCAAAAGCCATGATGGCTAGTAAGATGGCCTCTGTGCTTCCCAGAAAATGGAAGAAATGGAGCTGAGCAATGCAGCCTAGGAAGGAGATGACTTTCCTAGGGGAGAGAAGGTTTATGAGCACCTTGGGCAGAGTCACTGAAGAATAGCAAATATCCAGACAAGAAAGGTTTCCCAGAAAGAAGTACATAGGGGAGTGAAGTTTGGGCTCCAAGATAACAATCACTACTATCGCTCCATTGCCAACCAAGTTTATCAGGTAAATAACAAAGAAAATCACAAAAAAAGAAAGGTTGTAACTCTTGTGTGCTGGTCAGACCAAGTAAAATAAACTCATCCACTGTAGTGGCATTAGCCATTGCTGTGGGAAGCTACTATAATAATAACAAGCTGATGTGGGGGGAATTTAAATGTACACCATGGGGGTTAAGTGAGGCAAATGTGTCATGTGGACGGATTTAGTGATGAGTTGGTGGTGCAGTGCTTAAGGATTTGACTGTTAACCAAAGACTAACAGGTCAAACACTGCAGGCTCTGGGGATGTGGCAGTCTGCATTAATAAAGATTTGCAGTCTTGAAAACCCTGTGGGGCAATTCTACTAATCGGTAACAAACATGGTTTTCTTTGGTGGAGATGGACCCTCAGAGAATGATTTAACAAGTTAGCACTAAGTTTACTTAGGACAAAACTGGGGAACACTGATACACATGTCAAATGCTTACCTAACAAAGTGAATTAGAACAAGAAAAGCAGCATATTATAATAAATCAGATAGATGTAAAGAACATGTATTCATAACTTTATGTCTGACACTCAAATTAGGGGGTTAGACCATTGTTTTAAATGTTTAAAATATTTAATAAATTTGCCTTTAAGAAAAACAAAACCAGGGTTATAGTTGTTCAACTTACTAAATTCTGTGATCTGGTGGGATCATCAATCTAGCCTAGTAATATTTTCCCCACTTTTTCTAAAATGCATAAAGCAGCAAAAGATTGACACAAAAACCTGACAACTCAATCCTTCAGGGAAACAGAATCACAAAGTTGAGATAAAAATAAAAGCATAATCCAGGATTCATAAGATAGCACCATGGGAGTAAGGTGGACTGTAGGTATTATTGGGAAATCTCAGAATGGTGTTTGACCCTACCTATAGGAAGGCCAAACTTTAAACAAACAAACCTTCCCCCAACACACACAAAACTCCCCAACTGTTAGCCCCAGAAAGAGCGTGCCTCACAGCGAGTGGAAATTTCTATAGGGCAAAATAGTAAAGACATTACCAACACAACAGGGCATAGAGGAAGACATGCATAGTATGAGTCAAGAGAAGAACGAAAACAATGTGCTTTGTGAAAGAAAAGGACGATCCCTGTACCAAAAGGAGAGGGGGTATAGTTCATGAGCTGAAGAAATAGAAGAACTACCCCTAAGCTCCCCACCCACCAACACTAATGTTCCTTGCTAATAGTCAGTTCTAAACTAAGTGTCATCAAGTCAGTGCTAACTCATATTGGAATCTACTACCCCTATGGTTTATGAGGCTGTAACTCTATCAGAGTGTAGAAAGCTTCGTTTTTCTCCCACAGAGAGGTCGGTGGTTTCGAATTGCTGACCTTGCAGTTAGCCACCCAGCATATACCCAGTAGGACAATAATTAGTTCAGAACATCATAAGTCAATGTAAGAGTCCAATAAAAGAACTTCACGGGTTGACAGAAATATGGCAACTTTACAATCATAGTAATTGAGGAGTCAGTCAAAAAGTTAGTTAAGGATCTAATAAATCTGAGCAACACAATTTACAAAATTTACTAATAACATATAGAACTCAAAACTCTCAAAGAAAATAATTTACATTATGTTCAAATGTACATTGAAAATTTGCAAAGCCAAGTATATAGTGGTGCTTTTTTAAAGCTACAAAATGTTCACAAAGTTAAAATCAATTAAATATTTTTGACAGAATTAGAAAACAATAAATAAAATATCTCTAGACACTTGTTAGTGTTTGAAACTAAAAAAATCAGTCCTAAATAATTAATGTGCCAAAAGAGAAATCAAAGCTTAAAGTAAGAAATATTTTAAGCGGGACAACAATGAAGACCACTCCCTCCGTCACTGCCATTGAGTCTATGCCAACTCATAGGCACCTCATGGGGCAGGGTAGAACAGCTCCTGTGAGGGTCCCAAACTTTTCATGGGAGTAGAAAGCCCCTTCTTTCTCCTGAAACAATGAAGATAAACCATATCAAAGTTTTGTCACTAAAATGATACGCAGAAAAAACCTGTTTACCTTAAATTCATACTTAAGAAATGAAGAAATGTCAAAAATGAAGAAACTAATCTTTCATTTAATGATGTTAATAAATAAATAATTGAATATGAGTAAATATACCAGCAACTCAAACGTTTTAAAAGTAGAAGGAATGAAATAATAAAACAATATCATTCATTAAAAGATAGAGCAAACATGCAAGAGGGAAAAATGATCAAAAGGAAAAGTGTAAGTGACCACTTCATCAATTCTAGTAGATTGCTAAAGGAAAAGACAGATGAAGAAAAAGAAAATAGGGAGAAATTCAAAGTACCAATGAAAACGAAAGCATCTACAGGTCCTGTCAATACATGAACAACTTTATGCCAATACATTTGAAAAGGCAGCTGAATATTGAATATGTACATTATAATAATCCATGATCACTACTGTAGAGTTATACAAAGTGATACACTAAAAAAACATTTTAGGTAAATCAAAATGGAATCCTAAAAATGTTCGGGTCAACCACAGGAAGGCAATAAAAGATACCCAGATAAACAAGAAGCAGAAAGAGCAAACAGAAAACAGTAAAGTGCCAGGTTTACACTCTAATGTATCAGTAATCACCATAAAAGTTGATGAATTTAAAAGAAAGCATGACCCAACAATCTGATGTTTACAAGAAACTCGCTTAAAAGTTAATAATCTAGCAAGTTAACCATGAAAGACTGGGAAAAAAGACATATCATGCAAATATTATGAGCATGTAATACAATAATTGATTTCAAATTAAAGAGAATGGCTGAGAATCAAGAAGGAATTTGTATGATAACAAAATAATCAAATCACCAGGGAAACATAATAATCCTAAATGCAATAAATAGTAACTCCTCAAAACACACAAAGCAAAAGCCGATAGAACTAAAATGAGAAATAGTAAAATTCACAATTATAGTTTGAGTCTCAATACTCATTTCTCAATAACTGTAAGAGCTGATATTCAACAGAAAACCTCTAAGGATATAGCTCTGAACATTACAAGTGGGAGAGCATTAAAACATTCATGAAAAAATAATTAAAGGATAATGGAATCATTTTATAAACTTTTGAAGCACAGTCATATATATAAGGGTAAATCAGAATGTATTGCTATAAAATCACAGAAACCTTTATTAAATAAAACTACCAAAATAGGAAGTGTTGCTCCTCAACATATCCCCCATCTAGGTCTATACATTTCTGAAGAAGTTGTTCCCATTTCTGATTTTTTGGGGAAGAATTCTGTGTTCTCTATTTACACCACATCCAAATTACAGTTTGGGCATCCTCAGGGAACACAAATTGTGTCCCTTTTAAATGCCTTTGGCTTGGGGAACAAAAAAAGGAGTCAAAGAGAGGATGATCAGGATTATAGCGTGTATGAGGGAAGGTTTCCCAGTGAAAGTCTTAGTGGGTGGCCCTTGATACCCACAGAGGATGGGTAGGCACATAGCCCTGATTTGGGGAGGGGTCAGGGGCAGGGTTCAGCACTTTGCTGGTCTTTTTATCACCAGTGTAGCTTTCCATTTTCTCTAACATTCTTTATCATGTGCCTCATGGTTGTCCTGTGTCCTTTGGGGAAATCTACAATATAGTCCTTTTGGAAGTTCAAAAACGCCCATCGCCATAAATAACACTCTAAGCTGACCTCTCCCCCTTGAGTTTAACTGGCTCGGCAGATCATTTCATTGGACTTTTTTACTTTATTTTTTTTGTCAAGCATTCTAATGCGATGAAGAAGTACACTGAGAGAATTGATCTGCAGTCCTATATTCATATAGCGACATTTTAAAACATGTTTAGTCTGGACTAAACCCATGCTTGTCCTAGACCATAGTGGTAATATTTTTCACTTATCCTTGTAGGCCACTTAGGCAACAGTCACCAGTAAAACCACAGAACAAACCCACTCACTTTAAAGAATTGAAACCATGCACAGTAGGTTATCTAATCATAATAGAATGAAACTATCAAATCGATAAGAAATAATAGGCAAATCCTGCGAGTTGTGTGTGTGTATATATAATACATACTTCTGGATGAAAGTGAAAGTGCAATGTCTCCAAATATGTGGGATGCAGTGAAAGCAGTGATATGAGGGAAATATAAAACACGAAAACTCACATACCTAGGAGCCTTGGTAGCATAGTAAACTATGCACTGAGCTGCTAGCTCAGTCATTTGAACTGCAAAGATCAAACCCTGTCCCACAAGGCTGCTGTGACTGGGAATCAATCCAGTGGCAGTGGGTTTTTGTTGAATGATTACATTATGAAGAAGGAACAATCTCAACATAATAATATAGATTCCTGTCTCAAGAAATTAAAAAAAGGATTGCAAAATAAAACAAAAGAAATTTATATGTGCCTTAAACAATTGATGTATGTATGGATTGTGATAAGAGTTGTATGAGCCCCTAATAAAATGATTTTTAAAAAAAAGAAAGTTGAAGGAAGAAAATAATAAACACAGAAGATGCGAATTAGTGGAACAAAAACCAGAAGTGATCAATAGGCTCACACAAAAATGCTCAATTGATTTTTGACAAAGGTCCAAAAGCAATTTAATAGAGAAAAGATTTTATTTTTAAGAAATGATAGTAGAAGAATTGGCCATTTTTAGTCAGAAGCAAATAAATAAATAAATGAACCAATCTTTATCTAAGCCTCATATCTTATTTTTTTAAATGGAGCAAGAACATTAATGTATAGCATAAAACTGAAAATTAAAAAACGAAGAAGAAATCCATTAGGACCTGGGGTAGTTAAAGTGTTCTTAGACTTGATACCTAAAGCACAATCCATTAAAAAAAGAATAACGATTGGATCTCAGCCTAATAAAAATGCATTTGCTCTGCAAAATCCCCTGTGAAGAAAGTGAAAAGATAAGCTATAGATTTGTAAAAAATTTTTTTTGAAGTCATGTGACAAAGGACTAATATCTAGAATATAAAAAGAACTTTAAAAAAATTCTCTTAGAAAATGATAATGTGACATAAGAAGACATTTCACAGAAAAGAATATAACCAATGGCAAATAAGCAGATGGAAAGAGACTTA